GGCAGAGGGAGAAGCAGGCTTCCCGCTGAGCAGGGAGCCTGATGTGGGGCTCGATCCCAGGACCCTGGGATCATGACCTGAGCGAAAGGCAGATGCTTAACCGATTGAGCCACCCAGGCGTCCTGACACTATACAACTTGAGGAATACAAACTCATTAGAAAAGTTTAACAAAAAGACATTCTTTAAATATGAAAGATACTTATTCAAGTAGAGCAGCAGTCCTTAGCCATTTTGGGTCGAAGGCCTCTGAAAATTTGTAGGAACCTGCCACCAGAAAGTAACACACACATTTCTACACACAATTTTACTGGGTTTATGGTACAGATTTCCAATCCTGTCCACACAATAAAGTCACCTGGAAAGTTTACAAAAAATCCCCATGCCTAGACCATGCCCTCACAAAACTTGATTTAATTGGTTTGGGTTAGGTCCCAGACATCAGCATTTTTTAAAGCTTCTTTACTGATCCTAACATAAAGCCAGAGAGGAGGACATCTACTATTCAAAAACTCTCTGAAATCTCTCCAGAAAACCCTCTTCATTCACTTGCTTATTCAACAAAGATGTTAATTAATCATCTGTAACATCCAACATTTAGCCAAAAATTCTGAAGAGTCCAAGAGAAATGCAGTCCAGTTTTTTTCTCTGTTTCACAGTCACTACGCATCAGCAGTCTGGCAGACTGCCAGCATGACTTGCATTATTAGAAGAATTCTCCAGGAGTCAAATACTAATGATTCTCACTTCCAAACTAATGTACCCTTTCACAAAGGACAGGGTCACCAGATCACTGAAATAAACATAAAGGAATGCAAAACAAACAAACAGTTTTGAAGTTTTCCTATACTATTTCTTATTACAGCTCTTAAATGGGCTCAGGAAAAACATAGAACATGGGGAAGCACAGGCCATAAAACATTGGCATTTTCAAAAAACGCTTTTGAGAGTGTTCTATTCTAAAACTATATACAGCAATGTGACTGGGGAACAAATGTTTAGTGAAAGGATAGGAAGTGACACAATGGGAGGAAAAACAAATAGCTAATATTCTGGAGAGTCATGCTACAATAAAACTGCAAAGATGAGAGAAATAAAACCACATTTATTTAACATTATTATAAACATTGACCCCAACAAGCTTCCCTACTCACCTCATCCATTTACCTCCGTTCTGACATATGATCTACATGTATACAAACATATATATGTACTACTTTTTTATTAATAGACTCATTCCATAAATATTACTGTATAACTTGCTTTTGCCTTTTATTGTATACTTTAAAGATCCTTCCATAAAAGCATATATATAAACCTACCTTTACTCTATTTAAAATAGAGTAAAACCTGCATAATCTAGATAAATTGTGGATATAGTAAGGATATACCATAATTCAACCAACCCCTCATAGATGAATATTTAGGGTGTTTCCAGTATTTTGCCAAAACAAAATGACTGTTTTAAGACTTTTATAGTCCTTGGCTTCTATCGAAATTAATATCATATATATTAAAATGTGGTTTCTCAGAAATCCACATTCATATGCAGATATTAAAATCTATACTGTACACCTGAAACTAATATAACACTGTATGTTAACTAAAAAAAAAACTAACCTATGAATTTTGAAATATTTTTGTTTTTACCAAATTTAATAATTAATGAAAGTGACATAATATAGCTTGTAACATAATTTTCTTTTCATATTTAGGAACAAACAAAAAGTTTGCAGACCACAAGTATTTCCAAAAGCCCATGAAAAACTAAGCATTGCACTTGGGAGTCCACCCCAAGCAGTAATTAAAAAAAAAACAACAAAACCAGCACCTAGAACTTGCTACGTGCTTAGAATACTATTCTAAGTATTCTACATTTATTCATGCATGTAAGCTTTACAACAACACTATGATTTGGGGGCCATTATTATTACCATTTTATTTTTGAGGAAAATGACACATAAAGGGACTAAGTAATGTGTCCAGTTTCACAGAGGTAATGTCATACTGAAAGGATTCAGAACCAGGCAATCCACCATGTTAACTTGTACATAGATCTTTGCTTACCTATTGGCTAAAGTTCTAGAAGTAAAATTTCAACTCAAAGTGTATAAGCAAGTACAATTTTGATGTATGTTGCAAAATTATCCTCCCAAGAAGCTTACACTAATTTACCTTTCTGCCAAGACTTTATAAGAGGGCTTATTTCCCTATACCCTCCATAACAGTGGGTATTATCAAATTATTTCATCCTTGCCAATCTGGTAGGTGGAATAACTTCCTTTTTAAAAATGGATATTTCTTTATTGTTACAGGACTATTGGTCATTCGTATTTATTTTTCCAAAGCTATCTATCTGTTCATTTGCTTCATTCATTTCTATTGGATATAATGTTTCAGTACATTCAACAACAAAATTGATAAATTAATGCCTCAAGAAAGAAATTAGTTTAACTTTAAAGCACTAATATTATGGTAAAAGGAAAGCAAGACTTTGTATCATATTAAATATATACATATGTGTGTATATACATAAATTTTTTAATGGTATTATCTTAGATTATTTTAACAGTGCCAATAAACACACTGTATAACTCATGCTTGGAATAAAATTCTCGAGGGAAACCTGCTCTTCAACTCCTATCCTATTTAGACACTGTTCAGTGAAATGTAGCTGAAGTTTTGCCTCAGTAAGATGTAAGCAATTAAATCTTCTATCACATTATCAAAGATTTATTATCCTTAATTTATTACATTTTTTTCATTGCTTCATCACCATAATTAAGAAATGATTTATACACATAACTAGTTTTGTTCTCATTATACCCTGAAAAGCAATAAAACAAATTATTCTTTGGTCACAAAATCTCTTATTTTACATAAGCTTTAACAGGTAGCTATTTTTAATTTTACCATATTATACTCCAATATTTCTATGCTCATTGTTTCTTGGTGTTTATTAAAATAAATTGATGGATTTTAGCATAAATACCTTGAAGGTATTAACCCTTGCAACCTTAAATATACAGTAAATATATTCTGATGAATAAATGAATAAATTACTTGGGACCAATACAATGATCAAAAAAACAGGAGTAATTTATGTCATATTCCTTCACCAAGCAGCACAGGAATCAATAAATGAAACTTGTCACTGCACAAGAATTAAGAAACTCTACTATCCATTTTGTACCATAAATCCAACTCTATTGTTTACAGCAGAATTTCTCAACCTTGGCACTATTAACATTTCACCAGATAATTCTTTGTTGTAGGCAGCTGTCCTATGCACTGTAGGATATTTAGCAGCATCCATGGCCTCTACCCACGAGTTACCGGCAGTACCTTCCCACCTGACAAACAAACACGTCTCCAGATATTGTCAAATGTTCCCTGGGGACAAAAATCACCCAGGGTGAGGACCACTGGTTTAAAGATAGCTAACATTATAAGTGTATATCTAAATCCAAAGTGAGACTTCTGTGAAGAACTTCAAAACTTGGGAATAGCTTCAAGAATCCCAATATGGTTGCTAGAAAAACCTCCCTAATTCAGTGTACTCCCATGCCTCCCTTCCACTCACAAGTCAAACCACCGTAACTTTTAAGCCTTCATTTTGTTCAGGTGATTCAACAAGCATTTGTTAGTTTCTTCTGTCCCACCTGCCCAACTTTAAAGTTATCAAACCCCTTTCCAAGAGCTAGTTGTAGGATCCTACCACTCAGTTAATCATTCGTAACACCACAATATTACTGAACAATAGAAAGGAGATTGTTAAATTATATTAGATGGGGACTTTTGGCTGAGTCTTTGAGGTAAAGTGCCAACAGGTCAGATGATACTACGTGTCCAATACTGAAGACAAATGAGGGCATAATCATTCCTAGCTGTGGTTCTGACCCAGAAGACAAGTACATACAGTGCTTATTAATAAATATGTTTCTTTGTGTTGCTCCTAAAAAAAATCAAGGGATGAGTTAAATATCTATTTATTTGAAAGAGAAAGAGTGTGAGAGCACGAACAGGGGGGGAAGTGCAGAGGGAGAAGCAGCTCCCCACTGAGCAGGGAGCCCAGTACGGGACTCGATCCCAAGACCCTGGGCTCATGACCCAGCTGAATGTAGACGCTTAACCAGCTGAGCCACCCAGGGACCCCTGAGTTAAATATTTAAAAGTAGAGTGCCTTAACTATCCTTTCCTGTCTTTCTTTCTTTTTTTTTTTTTTTAAGATTTCATCTCTTTATTGGATAGAGCACAAGCAGGGGGAGCTGCAAGCAGAGGGAGAGGGAGAAGCAGGTCCCCCTCCTTGCCCCGCACAGCAGGGAGCCCACATGGGGCTCGAACCCAGGATTCTGGGATCATGATCTGAGCTGAAGGCAGATGCTTAACGGACTGAGCCACCCAGGCGCCCCATTAACTACGTTTTCTAAATTTAAAAATATACTATTAATAGCCTCTAATACTTGAAAAGGACTTAAAAACACATTAAGATTTCTCAAAACTCCTTTAAAATATTAGGCAACAATAACAAGGTGAAGAACTAATTTATTTAAAAAGCATATAACAGAAGGCATCCCTGCTTAAAAAGAATTCAATTAAAAGTCAAATTTTTATACTAAACACTTCTGACACCTATGAGTTTCTTCTTTACCACTCAGTCTTCTCATTTCCAAAATGGTTCTGCCAGAAAGTTTTGAATATTGAATGGGAAATAAATAAGTAAGTAAGTTTTGAAAAGAATGAACCATTATTCCAATATAAGTAACTGGGCAAGTGACTATAACATCACGCAGAATTTTGATTTTCAGAATTACCAAAATTAGTGATCACAATGAATAAAGTTAATATATTTTTCAAAACATTTCTTTCTGACCAATCAGTTCATTTTTAATTTACTTTTCATTACTTGGAAAAAATAAAGATTGGAATTTTAAATCTGATAAAGTAAAACTATAAATAATAACACTAATATTTAAACTGTTCAGATTTTCTAAATACTTACATTACTTGTAAACTTTCTGCTGTTAAATTATTCCACATAATTTCATTTGCCTGAAGATTTTCATTTTCTTCTAGTAAGGAAGTATCAAACTCAATTTCTTGCTCTTTAGCAGCCGTTGTTCTAATAAAGCATGCCAAATAATTTTGATCAATATGAATATACTATCATAATATATCTTAGTATACACCAAAGGCAGAATATGTGTTATCCAAAATTATGTTCACAAAATAGAGTAAATACAAATAGAATAAATCAAATTAAACCCCAGGCACCAAGATCTAGTCACATAATTTCAGCCTTAATTTCATTTGTAGAATATGGATATTAACCTGTTTTATTACTGTCACAATGGTAATGAGTATGCATGGATAAATAATTGATGCATCGTAAATTTAATATACATATAGTCATAGTATTATCATACAAATGTTGAAAAAATATATAACTTCATGGATTAAATACAGGTTTAAGCAATGATACAGTAACAACTGACAAATTTTTAAAGATAATTATATAAATTAAATAGTTATCACTGAGAAAGAACTTTAAAAATAATTAAAAGCAGATAAATTAATCAGTAATATCGTATGTCCTAACAAGCTCTTCAATATCTTATTTTAATTTAGCTAAATACTATATGGTAGAAAAAAATAATACTGTCACAAATACTGAAAGAAGAATGAAAATATTATACATACCTGTGAACATCTATGAAATTATTATATTCTGTGCTAGGGTCTATCTGTTCAACCGACATTTGAATCTCTTTATGGACATTCACTATTTCTTCTGTAACAAGACTGGTTATCTGGCTGTATTCATCAAATATACCTTTTCTGAAAACAAAAATAAAATTTTACAACATTTTTAAGTTTTCAAGAGAAACACAGGCCGAAAAAGGATTCAGAACAATAAACGTAAGAAATATAATCCCAGTATCTATAGATGGTGATTTTATGCACCACCTTATTTCATATACCTGGACAGTAAAGGGATTATACAAAGGCACAGATTAACAAGTTACATTTGATATAATAATTGCAAATGATCTAGAATAAGGCATTACCTTTTCCAACATGTATTTGACATGTTCAAAATGTAAGGTCAGGTTGATCACTTTCTATTTCTAAAGACTGAACATAGAAATGTTCAATTCCAGCACATGGAACTGTGGATCAATTCCCGTCTCTTTAATGTTTCTCTCCAGTGGCTGCTATTTCCTCAAATGTCCTACCTCTTGGTTTTCTCTTGCTCCTGGGCCCCTGCTCTTTCCTCTATACTTAATTAGAAAGTTCAACTGGTTCTATACCTTCAGTGACATCTAGATCTCTTCTCCTGACCTCCAGTCAGCAGGAAAAATGTCATAAAACATATTAGCTTTATCTAATGAATACAAAAGGAAAAATTATGCTGTAGCAAAGACTTGATCTCCAACTAAAGAATGCTATGCTGTCAAAATATACACTGGTCAAAAGCGGCCTCAACAACGAGTGTGGACAGACAGGCTTATCTTGCCTTTTCCCAAATAAATATAAGGCATAGTTTGCTTTTCTTTTCCAAAATCATTACTCATAAAAAACTATTACTTACAAAATCTCTCTTGTTTACTATTCTCCCAAAAGCCAAATACTGTTTGGGTTAAAAAAAAAAAAAAGATTTAAACTGCTTCAGGCAATGCTAATTTGAAATGATTATAGAAATCACCTGACAAAATTTAAAGAAAAGGGGAAGGCAGAGAAATTTAAAACAGATTTAGTAAATATCCCTGGGGTTCTGAATATCTGAATATCCCTGAAAGTACTGAATGATATCAATGTAAATGACCCCATCTAGGTAACTCTTATAAAGCAATACTATAATATGATGTGGAGATGATTATTAATATCCACCTTTAGGACAAATAGAATTTTAAAAAACAAATTCTCCTAATGTTAAATAAATGTGACATGGAATTCAATTTCAGTGAAATCATCATGCTTGAATATTTTAAATGCTAGATCTAAAATAATTTACTGTTAAAGATAATATGCTACAGGAAACTACTATGTCTCAAAAAGGCATCTAGTGATGATGAAGATGCCATTATTGAAGATTCATGTGAAGAATTTGAAAAAATAATGACAAATGAAATGAGAATAGGAAAGGAAGTATTTCTGAATCAACAATATGTAATTTAAAGTAGACATAACTATGGGGTGCCTGGGTGGCTCAGTACGTTAAAAATCTGACTCTTGATTTCAGCTCAGGTCATGATCTCAGGGTCCTGAGATGGAGCCCCATGTGGGGCTTAGCAGGGTATCTACTTGAGATTCTCTCTCTCTCTCTCTCTTTCTCTCTCCCCTGCCCCTCCCCACTCATGTACTCATATGCTCTCTCTCTCTAAATAAATCTTTAAAAGTTAATAAAAAATAAAGTATATATAAATTCATACATTAAATATTTTAGGTAGATATTTTATCAATACCATTATAAGTTTACATATTCAAGTCAACTAAAAACACTTTTTTATCTTTTTACTGGGAAAATGGGAGATCACCTAAACCAGCTAATGAAGCAGGTGAAGTCTACCAAAGCATGGCTTATCTTTTTCTGTTGTCTTGTATTGATGTCTATGGTAAACATGTGTGCTTTTGACATACTGCCCAAAGTATACTGTTAGCTTCTTGAAGGCAAAAATTGTGGCCAAATCACAGGCAGTGTGTTTTACATACAGGAGAACTTCAATAAACATTTGTTGATTTTAACCTCACACAATAAAAGCTGGCAGATAAACCTTCAAAAAATTCTTTCCTTTGATGGAGCTAGAGCTCTCTAATGCTAAGTGAAGTAAGTCAATCAGAGAAAGACAAATACCATATGATTTCACCCATGTGTAGAATTTAAGAAACAACAACAAATAAAATGAGCAAAAGGAAAAAGAGAGAGAGAGAAACCAAGAAACAGACTCTAAGAGAACAAACTGATGGTTACCAGAGAGGAGGTGGTAGGTTGATGGGTGAAATAGATAAAGGGGATCAAGAATACACTTATCACAATGGGCACAGAGTAATGTATAGAATTGCTGAGTCACTACACTGTACACCTAAAACTAATATCACACTGGAATTAAAATTAAAAACTTAAAAAAATTATTTCCTTTGGACTTCTCAGTTGCTCAATATTTAAACACAACCCTCTGAAGATAGATATTCACTTCTTAACACTTGTCAACTAGTGAATTTTTTTTTACCTAAATTTCCAGCTAATGGGAGTAGAATAAAAACACACAAAAGGAAGGACCATTCTTAGGGCTAGCTGGAGGATTTAGAAGATGATAATAAGCTGAATGGACATCAGAAGTGAAAATCAAGAAGGACCAAGGTAAAACAGATCTGAAATACACATTGGGCTGGATCAATAATGAAGTTCACAAAACATAGACAACCTCTATCCAAAAGCTTACCTAGGAGAGAAAATAACATTAATTCAATTAAATTAAAATGCCAAATAGGAAATGGAACTTACAGTGCTTTTATCATTTCTTCTTGCATCTTTTGTAAGGAGTCCAGAAGCAAAGGAAGTGTGGTGTCATAATACTGATTCTGATGAAGCTGTGCCCCTTTCAATGCCAATACATACTGATTATGCAACATATGAAGTTTCATTGTCGCTTTGTCATATCGTTCCTTGGCCTTTTCGGTTTCTTTCCCTGAAGAAAACATTGAAGAACATTAACAAAGAAATAAAGAAACTTTATCTTCTCTATATGCAAACTGAGTGACCACCATTTTATATCTCACACATTTTATGAATACTCAACAAAATTTTATTGAACATATACTATATGCTCAGCTCTGTGCAAAGTACTACTTATTTGCCAGTACTGTGCACACAGGCTGCTATGAAGGAGGCATAAATTACAGTAAATGTTTGGTGAATGTAAGTTAATGTACAATTTTTAATAAAATTATACAGAAAAATAATCCTCATTTTCAAGCTCACACCAAATTAGAACAACGCATATAGACTGTATAATCAAGGAAACAAGAAAGTTTATAAATAATGTTAAATTTTGAGGTCTGTATTTGAGGTATCAATAAAGACAAGGGGAGTCAGAGGAGGCTTTGTAGAAAAACCAAACATGGGGAATGTCCAGGCAGGTATAAGAAAGGCAGAACAGACAATAATTCCTCCCTTTCTGCCTGTCTTCCTTTCATTCACTGAATTTTATTAACTGATCACCACCAGAACTATGCTAAACATTAGTAATTCAGTACCTAGCAAAACCGAGTCCTCAACATAGAGCCCCTGGTCTGGTGAATTGGAATAGTGAGGGGAAATACGGAGAGAATAAGCAAAATTACATAGGCAAGCAAAGAAATAAGCTCAAAGAGAATAAGTTTTAAGGAAGTGAAGGCAATATGTCTATAGAGGTAGGGCAATTTTAGGTTGTGAATAATTTGAAAATCAAGCAGAGAAATTTAAACTTGATATGGGAGAAGTCCAGAAGATATTGATAATATTATGAACTAAAACTTTTGGGGGTGACTTTACTAAAATCACTCAGAAAATATTTACAGATTGACAATATAAATGAATATATAAATAAAATTTTTAAGCAGGTCTTCAATTTTTGGTGCAAACCGAACAAATATTTCTTGTCAATTATTTAGATTTAGGGATTAAACTTTTCAAAATATTTATTAATTTTTGCCCTTTTCCCAAGGAGAATCCTCCAAGGGAATCTTTTCCCAAAAATAGATCTATTTTGAGAATTTTTGACACCACAGGCTCTCCTCTGCTGCCACTCTGTTTCAGCCTGGCACCCATCTGAGTATTCCCTATAGGTAGGAGTTGGAAAAGCATTCCCTGTTGCAGGATGTCCCTAGCCCAGGGCCAAAAGGAGAAAAAGTCAGTGTTTTTGTGGAGAGGGGAGACTGCAGATCCTCAGATATGCACAGGCAGAGCAACAGAATAAGAACAGTTCCCTTGCCTTTCTCATCTCCCCTCCAATTCTCAGGCATAGGAACCACATCTAGCTCACCAGCTAGGCAATCTTTCCGGCACACTGGTAGATCTCTGCTACCTATAAATTCTAGTGGTTCCAAGTACTAGAACCACCAATGACTTCTAGGTAGCTGCACGTAATTATTTTACAGAGCATAATTCTCTAGCCATAGTCCATGAGCTGGTTCCTGCACATGAGGATATTACTAATTACCCAAGTTATTTGCAAATTGCTGCCCTAGATAACCTATTTTGCTTTATAACATAAAGAACTTCTCAAGGAGAAAATATTTTAATCACCAGAGTATCTTTTCTAACCCTTCTCATTGCTGTCTGGAAACAGGTTCTAATACCAGACTGGGAGGATGAGAGTAAATATATTAATTCAGTTCCGAGCTGAAGGGATCAGAAAAAAATAACATGAGCCACTACAGAAGTAGATTTTCTCACTTTTTGACTACAGCTCACAGGATAATATATTTTACGTCATGAGCCAATAACCATATACATTTTTAAATATATAATTGAAATAAACTCGTGAAAGGCATCCTTACTATCCTTACTATGAATGATGCCCTGTGATTTTAAAAGATTCTATTATATTTGATTTTCAATTTTTTTAAATCTTCATTGAAAAACCAGTAAATTTTTTTGCCTCAGTTAATACAAATCCCTAGAGAAATTTTTACTCATCCTGTATGGCACTAGGGATAATCTTTTTAACTTCACAATTACAAATCACTTCAATAATACTAATCATGAATGATTTTTAAGATTCTCAGGAACACATTCTCCTACATGTTCAATCACTATAATAGTTTTTTACATAGAATACTATATTTATTTATTGATAAATATTGCTACTTGGCATCCTTCAAAAAATGTCCCTGAGAGTCAATGCAGTTGACACATCTATGGCCAGCCTCAGAGCCTCCCTCTAAAATAACAACCCCTTTTTCTCCCTATCCACACAAGTCAGGATGAGACTCCTATATGAAACTAATACCCAAAAGCCAAAGCACATACCCGACCAAACTGAAATCAATGTTTTGGCTGGGAGCCAAATCACATTAATGTCTGAATGAGAAAGAAAAGTTCACAAACACCTGTTTCAGAAGCCTCCAGAGCAGCCCTTTCGAGGCCTTTTTGTTGTTGTTCTTTTTTTTAATTTCATTCATCATTTTTAAGCTAGTTTAAGGATATGTTAGTAATATTTGGCAAATTCTGACAAGAGTTCAAAAAGTCATATACAATTACACAGACAAATTGATCCCAAGTAATAAAGAAGTTTTCTAGAGTCTACATGTTGATAAGAAGAAAATAAGGCAAGCATTTACCAGGCAAGAATATTTAAGTACTGTGTTCTAATTTGTTAATTTTTATTATAAATTCAAAATTATAATTATATAGTAAGTTCAATTAATTCCATATTTTATGTCACTTTTTAAAAAATATTACTTTTTATATGAACCCTATTATTCCTAATTAATTACTTGGATTTTTTAGTGTAACTTCAGGAGTCAAGCTCTCCACACAAACATTTTCATGGAGACATTTAAACCACCCATCTGTCCTCCTATTTGCACAGATTTTTAAACTGCACACTATCCATCTGTCTTTCTAGCTGGTGAAAAATGAGGCACTAAAATGCAACATCCAGCTAAGATTTCGTAATTTAAAATAACATTAGAAAAGTTAAGAATTCTCACTTTTTTTCTTTATCATATCTAGTCTATGACAAACAACCTGAAAAAGACTGTTACAACCAAAATGAATTATCAACAGCTTATCAGTGGTCATTAACTCAATTTAGAAAAAATTAAATGCCTTTGAAAATATCCAAGTCAGAATTCATTACATTAAAATACTACTACTAATAATAATAGTCTTTAAAAAGAGCTTTGGGTTTAAAACTGAATTTGGGTGTATCTCTTAGTAGGTTTTTGGTTTGTTTGCTTTTGGACTCTATAGCTCACACACACTTATGCACTGGGTTATAAGGTGTACTTGTATATGCACACAACTGATCAACCTATCTATATTTCCCTCCCACCCTCCTTCCTCTGTAGAAATGAACAAAAAGTTTCAAAAAAATGCTCACTTGCCATGATTTGGAAAGGGATTCTATTATATTTTTTCCTGATTTGCTTTAAAATAATTATTTAGGTCCCATAAAAAACTATATAAGTAAATTCAAGAAATAGTAATACTCTGTGAAAACCAGTTACAAATAACTTTTTTTTCAATTCCATTCACTTCCTAAAATATGTTGCAAAAAACTAGCTGATTCTTGCCACATAGCTTCTTGGTGCAGAATATTTCACATCACTATTACCCTTTCTTAACTTTTAAATAACGATATTTGAGCTTAAAATTAATGTGAAGTATGCAGAGCAAGTAGATTTTTATTGACAGACACAGAATTATACTTCTGTTGCATATGACTTTTTTTTAATGATGAGAGGCATCAAAGCAGGGCATGAAGTTGTCCTATGTGTCAATTAACAGGGAGGAAAACATCCAATTTTTCCTCCTCCACATAATGAATTTCACAAAGAGACTGAATTATAGTTCTTTTGCCACCACTTGTTGACAAATCTGTTTAATGTTTGTAATAACAGTGTATATACAACATGTCATGCCATAAACAATATTATGAAGCTAGCAAAACTCAATTAGGTAAGTTTGACATTTACAAGAGACAGGCAAGACTACTCATTAAGCTAGTCTAGAAAGTCAAGTATTTTTTATTATAAACTTCGGAAGTGTTTATCATTTGTTAAATATTATGGTGGAAAGCCTCCCAGTAGTAAACAAGAAGTGATTATTTTCAAAAAGTAAAATGCCTGCAAGAAGACTCTGCTTCCATTTGGGTAACTGAACATTCTACCATCTTACATTATTCCTTCCTTTCAAAACATTCCTCCTCAACTATATAATTTCTACTTATTACTCTGAGCAAGAAGAAAATGAACAAGAATTCATCCTAATTTATGAGTTACTTGGGCCAAATGTCCACATTTGTTTTTTCACATGAAAGTTAAAATTCAAGTATGACATGTGGGAACAATGAATGAGCTACCCATTTATTCAGTGCTACTCAGACAAAAGCAGAGTTAAGAAGTAGGTTTTTTCTCAGCTTCTCCTTTGATTAGATGTGCAACCCAAGCAAGTCTTATAACCTAAATTTTATCTTCTAATTTCCAATCCTGGGAGTTAAATTATCTGCCCTTATCAACTCACTGGGTTGTGGATGGAGACTGAATGGCAAAAAACTGTCAAAATGCAACAGCAAAGGCTAAGGAAGACACAGAATTTGGAGAGCTGGAAAAAACCTTTTGATCATAATGCTCCTATAAAGCATTAAAAACTATACTAGGTATATCCATACTGTGCTATTTTTAATAAATTTCATGGCATATGAAAAAATTGATATATCAATCAAGAAATATTTACTATATGTGTTATGGGTTCTAAACTGTTCAAGGAACTAAAAGAGTGATATTTTATTTAAAAATTGAGCAAAATACCTTTAAAGAGTAAGCTAACTCTGTGCAATATCATTTCCTTGCATATAGTGATTGCTAGATTCAACTGACCAACAATCTTTTAATAACCTATAAATTGAATGGTATACCATGCTCAAATCTATATTCTATAATGTAACAAAGCTGTGAAGGGGAGGGTTCTGGGTAGCTGCGA